ATATTTACTACTCCTTTTTTGTGTATTGATATACCTGCAATATACAATTGATCCAGTTCTGAGATTCTGATGCACGTATTATTGCCAATGAGACAACGCTCCACCAGAGACCAACATGACTAGTTAGCAACTATAGATCACCATACAGCTTTCAACAATGAGCAAAACCCATACCACATAGCAAGCTAAGTAAAAAGCCTAACTGTAAAATATAAAGGCATACACCATTGGCAAGGGACACATTCTATTGCATGCACACAGCACGAGCAGCAAACCCTACAGTTACTAGTTTTAAGTGTGTGGACCTATCTATTAGAAAAACAATAATTTTATTATTATTGTATCGTGTAAATTTCCTGAAATGTTAATTTTGTTTAGGTATATACTTGATCACTTCAACTATTTTGAAGGAAACATCATAGTTAATACGAAATAGATTTTTAATTGTATTTTCCTTCGCGTAATTGTGTCCTCATTTAAATGAGACCGCGAAGTAACTGTAACAAGTAGTTTCATGCGTTGTTGCATTAAGCATATCCACACTCTTAACTCATGGTCAGAAGACTTAAAGTAGGTATATGGCAGATTCAAATAGCACTCACACGTTACATCAAATCACTATCAAGCCGCTGACCACTGATGAAGTTATTTTGTTAAGATGTATCCGAGAAAAGTGTGACGAAAAGAAATGTTGGAAGAATGCATTCAAAGTATCGGCAAACAAGAAGTCGGTCTCTGCCAGATCCGACAAATGCTCACGCGTTACAACTGATCGCTCTGACCAAATATGACAGGATTCTGTTTTTTAGTACCCAAGATTAGTGTGACGAACATATTTGTTGGACGGACGTCGTACGGACATACGGACAGACGTTTGGGAATGCATTAAAGTCTCAACTCATAGAGTAGTGGAAAATATGTCTATTTCGTCACCAATGTTAAACTGGATAGGCTGTACGCATAAAAGCAAACAACGAGTAGCTTCAGAATTCTTGAACAGCGCTTATACAAACATTTAAGTAATGACCCATCCATACTTTGTGTTTATTTATCAAAACATGATTCAAAATTTAACATTTTGTATGAAATGCAATCAGGAAGACACTTACCGTGTGAAGCACATATTTGTTAACTTGTTGCAACAATTTACGTTATCTGAAAATAAACATATTGTTATCTTATCTGTTGAAATAGTTTATCTTTTGTGATTTATAACAAATAATTTTTAGTTTTATATTTCAATACTTGTTATCTCTCGCCTCTCTTATAAAATACAGACACCTTTTTGGAAAAGAAAAAGGTAATATACAACATGCGTCAATCTTATCCTGCAGTAGACATATCAATATAACTCTTTTGATTGTTTATTTAATTTGTCGTATGAATTATATTTCTGCCCGGACTGCCTTGGATGACAATAGCCTGATGCGTAGGGCCGTGGATAAGCCAAGTTTACATATTTGTAAATTTCAAACGGTAAAATGTTGTGAATGAAATGGTACATACATATAAAGTTCCTTGTTGCAGCAATTATATACAGAAATTAAACTGTGTATATGAGTTGTATATTGTAGCAGTGCTAGAAAAATTATATGCGTCGTCTGAGTTTTGCAGGAATTGTAACATTTTAAAACGCCACTTCCCAGAAAAAAACAAAAACTAAAACAAAATGACACAATCTAATCAACCAGGAAATTTAAAATGTACTTAAAAATAGGTTTATACTAAGCATTTGAATAGAAGATTTCAATCAAGAACACATGCAACAACACACAATAATGTGCTTTTGTTTGCGACTGTTATATTGGATTTACAAAAAAATGATCACATCGATATACCTTACATTAGTATCGGTATATGCTATTAAAAACAAAATGACAAGACGAATTCACCAAAAATTGGGATTCTGTATGGATACATACCGATTCCATATTATTAACACTTGAAATAAATTAAGGACAATTTGTGATGTAATATGGAAGTATTTATCGTTATTTGGTTTTCTAATCTTTCATTTAGTTACAAATGTATGTATTGGTTATAGAGATTTTTTTCGTGTAAAGTAAGGTTACAGTTGTTTAATCAAATGTTACACCCCAGTTCTATTGTTATACTTCATAGTTTCTATTTATGAAACAAGTGTAGATTGAATATATCTATTATTACGAATAACAAAGGATTTTGACCACAGGGTGTGACGAGCGGGGTTTCTGGAAACCCCTGCTTCTACATCCCGCAAACAAAGTCCATTGTTATTCATAACAATAGAAATTGATTATTTTTTAAATAGCATGAACAAAAGAAATTACTAATAGTGGTCACTACAAATTGTTTCAAGATATTAAAAAAAACACATTATAGGAAATTCCAATTGCGAAAAAAAATTAAGCATCTATTTTGAATACAAAAATAATCCTTTAAATACTCCTTTGCTTTAAGGTAATTTTTTTTATCCCAGTCATATGTCTCTATTCTAAAGCTTTAATTTGGTCTTTTAAAAAAAATGGGGATTCTAACTCCCGGTACAAGACCCCCCCACCTCCCCCCGGTTACCCATTGGCCGATCTGGGGGTGGGGGTTCCGCGGTTTGGACCCGACTTTTATTTAAAAAATCAATGCATTTGAATGGTTGGACCCCCTTTTCTCTTGAGTTGGGAACCCCCAGCTGGATCAGCCCCTGTTTGCCCCCAAAAAGGGAGTTCCTAAATATTAAATCTGTATCTTTGTATGTTGAGCGTGTCTGGTAGTCGGGTCACACCTATCCCTTAGTATGTCCGAATATGAATGTTTGTTTAATCTCGAGAAGATGGGGGGGGGGGGGGGTTAAAACCGTAAGATATAAAAGTCTCTTCTACCAAATCCAACGCTTGCCACATAATGTCGCCCGTCTTATACCCGTCCATATTGACAACTGCATACAAGGAGCATGATGTATTTTTTGTTTGTAATAAGAATACACGAAACGGTCAACCTTGACCCGCTGATCCATATTAGCACAGGATTTAACGGGAATATGCAAACAACAAAAATAAAATCACAAAAATACCGAACTCCGAGGAAAATTCAATCGGAAAGTCCATAATCACATGGCAAAATCAAATGGCAAAACACATCAAACGAATGGACAACAACTGTCATATTCCTGACTTGGTACAGGAATTTTCAAATGTAGAAAATGGTGGATTGAACCTGGTTTTATAGCGCTAAACCTCTCACTTGTACGACAGTCTCATCAAATTCCGTTATATTTACAACGATGCGTGAACAAAGCAGACATTATAAATAAAATAGTCAAAATATGGGTACAGCAGTCATCACTGTGTTACAATATCAAAACAAACAACTTTGACATTTGTAAAATATACTCACTTGTCAAAGTTTGAACGAAGATAGCCAAAGAAAGCGCACTAGTGGGGTTTCATGTAATAAAAAAATATTCTTATAAATCATGGTTTGATATTGTCAATAAATATGCTATCAGTTTTTTTTTCCATTTTATAATCAATGCTAACAAATATAGGGTTTAGAATGGGGTGTATAACTATTACATAAATTACGTCAATAAGACACAGGTACATTCAATTAGAGGAAAGAGAAGTTTGCCTTAAATGTAACAATCGGTAAATTTTCAGGCCTGAAGATTGTCTCATATCTAAAGATTTAAGACAGCAAAAACATGTCAATATGTGGTTGAGAAACGGATATATCGTATCGGTCAAACAAAAAACTTAATAAGTGACGATTTCAGTCGCTTTTCCTAATAACTCCCTTGGAGCAGATTTCGTGACAGGAGCAAACCCCTGTTAATTAGGTCCATTAGTGACACCCGACTTATATGTCCCAAAATATCCCACGAGATGTGTAAAAAGAAGCCAATAAAAGACACACTTTTTTCTTTAATTATCAAACACTCCGTGTATAAAACTTGTGAAAGCTAGAGTTTAAATACATACAAACCAGTTCATGTTCATGATTTCATTATTTTTTCATAACCGACGTTGTTTTCAATATGATTCGTTACGATTTACGACTTGTTTAATTAAAATGAATTGATCATACTGTAGGATCTTCATAAAAGTTTTATGGTGATTTCACCCTTTTAGATACATATTGTAAATGTAATACTGGTTCATATTGTTATACTCATGATAAACTGGTAATGATGAACTATAATAAATTAATTCTTTTTGAAAAATCTGTTTTCGTAATATTTATAGCAACTCTTTGTGGATGTTAGAAACTATAATTGTCCAAAGTTGATGTTATGGCGAATTTAGAGGGAAAGAACACACTGTGCAAGCGGCATGGACAAATAATTATGCTTAAGAATATCATAGTAAGTTGCAGTAGGTCAAGCAGAAAGAATCTGAAATTCGATTTGCAAGTCGTCAAAAAAAAAGTGCCAAAATCAAATACACACAGATTTGCTAGCATTTAAATATACCCTGACAAGTTAAACTTTGGTGTAATTTTGTATACTAAGACCACTTATTCCGAAAAAAACGTCGATCTTGATATGCAAGCCATAATTATATCTTTAGGTCCAGTGAAAATAAAAAAAGACCACATAGAGTATTTTAATTTATATATATATGTTTTGGTATTCAGGTCGTCCATACATTGAACCAAGGAATTTCTGTTAAAAATAGTTAGGCAAACCCACTAGTTTATCCTCCGAAACTAAGAACCAGATAAATAAATCAAATTAAAATTTAAAGAGTGTTTTTATTTATTTTTTCTGATATCAATTTGAATATTTGTTAGACAACACCAAAAAGACTAATTTCGAAATACGGGATATAGCTATAGTGTGACAGTCATTTTTTTTATTTTTATTTCACTATTCACCGCTTCAACTTGAATAATGAAACATAAACTATTTCATTATTCATTATTCATCACTTAACATTGAATAGTGAATAGTGAACTATTTCATTATTCATTATTGAATTTTGAATAATGAAAAATGAATGATGAACGTACTTCAGCGCGGTTCTTTATGTACCAATAATAAGATCTGTAGACAACGTCAGATGTTCCAACTATTGTTGGATTTCAGAATGATAGAAGGACTAAAGAACGGATATATACATATCATTAGTGTCGGGGTGTTATCACATAATTTATTATCAATTGTTCATCTTCATTATATTTAAATACTTAGTAAATATTTCAAATAAACATAAATGACTATTTAGTTATAATGAAAATAGTTTTAAGCCAAACTATATAATCAGTCGTTAATTTCTGTATCATGTTCGTCGGTGATAAATAAATCTTGATCCATGCAGTCGGAACAGTTACGAATCGTTTGGTGTCTCATCAACCAATATGTCACCATTAATCCTTTTCCCTGAATAAATATAAACAAAATAATTTACTTATGTTTTCTCTGTCACCTCTTTTGTAATAATTCTCAAGAACCAACCCCTTAAGGATGTTATCTACTCTGTTTCAAACTAACAATTTTTAAAAAACTGTTATAAATCAATAGTTTATAAATAAAGGAACTGAAAAAGCAGAAAAAAATTAAAGGTCCGTGTGCTTGTTTTCGAGATATAAGCCATTGAAAATTTGGCGGGAAATTATTCTCTCTAGACTTTTCATACATTTAACATTGGCACCTTTTTTCTTTCAAAAACTATGAAAAAATTACAAGGATTTTATAAGATTTTAAAATATGGCTTTTAAAACTATATGTAATAATATTATGAAAAGAAAAAGTAGGGGTTACCGGGTAATTTTTTTTATTGGCAATAGATGGATAAAACCAGAGGATTCCGAATATCTGGCAAAAATTCAAAAACAAGAGTAGCGAACATCCTTAATCTTGTTAAACACCATACATGATTTAGCTCCTTTTTATTATTTGGTTACTGCTCATCGGATTGTTAATGTCTTAGCAGTACAACGGGTGAAACTAAAGATCCAAGAAAGGCTTACAATTTTGGTACATTAGAGTTCCCACACTTTAATGGAGTTCTTGAAGAGCAGCATTTTGATTTCTGTGAAATATCTTATCGACTATTTGTTTGCGGTAAATTGGTTTTGATATCGCTTGATAGCTTCTTACTTTCCGTCCAAAAATTTATAATACGCTGAATGTAATTCACTTAGAGGTTATTGAACTCAGAAATAACACATTTTGTTGTTTTTTTTTAAATATATTTTGCATTGAAAAAAAAACTAGACGAACATTTTGAATATGCAGTTATGACGTCAGTAGATGTGATCTAGAAATCATGGTTTTACCTTGATAATCATTTCACCCCGTCTTTGCAACAAAAAACCTGGATGTTGTTCAAGAGCACATTTCGTTGTGGAAGAAATTTGAATCATGCAGGCTATAAAAAAAGTAACATATTATGATATTATTTCCTTACGCAAAACATACAATTGTGTCATATCCTTTACTCATGAGATAAAAGATAATAAACAAACATGTCTCTCTATCTCAATCAAAAATAGTCCTGTATAGGTTTTTTTTAATTTGTTTTTATAGAATATGTTTTTTTTCATTTTCTTCTTTTGTCCATGTTATTATCTGTTTTCGTCGACAAACGATTTTGGTTGCAAACTTGGTATTCTTTTACTTGTACAAAAATTAATCAAATTTATATATATTAGGTTTTAACTATGCTCATTTTATCTTTAAACCTTTGTAATTAAGACAATTATATTATTTTAAAATATCTAATAAGTGTTTGACCATGACAGTATAATATTAAATTTCCGAAACTCTTTGAACTATACCACCAATGTAATCAACCCCACTGTTTCAGCTTTCTTTGTCCGTTAAAAAGAGATAAAATTCTGGATATTGTATGCACATGTCCGTATGTACCGGTACATTCATCACACTGCAAAACATTAAGTTAAATGAATGAAATTAAACAGAAGTACCTTTGACAGTGTTTGAAAAGGCGGAACATATTGATTCGTTTTCCTTTTCTAAATTGATGCATTTCTTCTTTTTAACACGTTCAGTTTGATTTTTTTATGTATCTAGATAATATTATACTAGTAGTACTCAAGACAATTGCCAGGCTATGATACGTTCACATTTGATTGGTTGAAATTTTCATAACTTACATTTACTTGTTGATTCCATCCGAGATGCAACGTTGACAGTATCACCAAACAGACAATATCGAGGCATTTTGGTTCCAACAACACCAGCAACCACAGAACCTACAAACAAACAATTATCAATTAAAACGTCGACATATTTTCGAACAAACCATGATTATTCGACACTGTCATTAGTGAAGCAGGATATGTACTATTATCTGAAATCATCGCCTTTTTGTAGTTGGGTTCGTGTTGCTCAGTCTTTAGTTTTCTGTGTATTGGTTTGTAGACAACGGTTTTTGCAGTGGGTTTCTGTTGCTAAGTCTTTACTTTTCTGTGTATTGGTTTGTAGACTGTGGTTTGCAGACTGTGCTTCTAGTGGTGGGTTCGTGTTGCTCAGTCTTTAACTTTCCTGTGTATTGGTTTTCAGACTGTGGTTTGTAGACTGCGGTTTTCGTGGTATGTTCGTGTTGCTTAGCCGGTAGTTTTCTATGTATTGGTTTGGAGACTGTGGTTTGTAGACTGCGGTTTTCGTGGTAGGTTCGTGTTGCTTAGCCGTTAGTTTTCTGTGTATTTGTTTGTAGACTGTGGTTTGTACACTGCAGTTTTTGTGGAAGGTTAGTGTTGCTCAATCGTTAGTTTTTTGCGTATTGGTTTGCTGACCGTAATTTGTAGACTCGGTTCTTGTGCTTGGTTCGTGTTGCTCAGTCTTAGTTTTCTGTGTAGTAGTTTGTTGACTGTGGTTTGTCTTGTCATCGTTTGTCTTTTTGCCAATAGTTTTATTTGATTACGTTCCAGCTTTGACTTTGGTTGTCTTCTTGGTACCTATTGATTTTTTAAATGAACTATACATGATTGTTTATTACATGTCTTTCTGCTATTTTAGTGTTGTTAAGTTTCTGTTTGGTTTACGCATATACAACATCTCCTTGTTTTCATTTCTTACTTTTTTAATACAGATTTATAAAAAAGTTTGCCAACTCTTATTGTAAGAAGAAATGTTTTAACATTTATTGCATTATGCACTGTATAAAACATTATTAATTACTTGCTTTCATTGATTTAGCATTGCTAGTGTATCTGAAGACTGTTAGTTTTCTATTTATTTACTTATCTAAAACAAAGATAAGAACATTCTAGCAAATTGTAACTTTGGAGTAGTAATGACTAATTAGTTTGATATTGCGGACCATTTGGATTGTAAAGAGCTACAAATGCTTGCTATAAACAATGTTGAGTTAGAATTGTACAAAAAAAAATAAACCTATTTACGATCAAACATGTGCTTTAAACATATGTTGCTATGTTTTATGTTTTAAAGTTATATATAGGATTTCATACACGGTAAAGCAAGTTTAATAGCAAAATGTTTATTTTACTATAATAGCAAAATTTATTGCGGAGTAAGTCCTTTGACAGTAATAGACCCTTTCGAAAATTAAGATTGATGTTACATTCTTAATAAAAAAAAAACATAGTATATGTTAGCTTCCATTGAATGATGCGTTCTTGTCACAGTTTTTGCTGTGAATTGAATTGTTAATTTTTAGAAGAATTATCAGTCTGTTAACATATCACCTACACTACATATGCATATCTCAGTATAGTTTTTTATTGTGGTATTTCGTCCCTTTAGCATTTCTGATTTAATCATATGTCACTTAATTGTTATACCTGTATGTATTCCAATTCGTATTTGCCATTTCTCATCTGGTAAATGTGGAATTTCCGATTCACTGACTATTTCTAATATATATAATGCCATTAAAGCTACTTCCAGTGCATGTCTGTCTTTATTCCTTATTGGCAAACCAGAAACCATCATGTAGCCATCACCTAAATTAATCATTTTTATTTTAAAATTGAAGATAACATGCAAATCAAAATTAAAAAAAAACCAAATACATAATACATGAGTGATACCTGTCGGGACGAAGCGTCTAACAGAAAATAAATTATAACAACACATTTTCAATTATATGCGTCCACAGCACATGTCTGGATTTACCGTCATAAAGGAACGCTTAAATTCAAATATTTGAAAGCCATGGATGTATAAAAACCAAAAACAGGTGAAGAGCTATATGACCGAACAGGATCTAAACATGATAGTCAAATCAATATAAAGACAACTTTTACTGAGGGAGTTGAAACCTTAGTTTCTTAATAATTTCTAAATTTCTACTTGGAAAATTTTAGAAAGGTTTGTTATAAATCATGTCGGTACCAAAGTACTAACTATTGAGCTGATGATACCCTCGTGGACTGATAGACCAGAAGTCGACTCAGTGACGTTATTGTACAAACGCATGAAGGACAGAAGACCTTTCACTAGTATACTATACATGCGTTTCGTGTACATAAATCGAAACAGTTTGACAGAAAATCCAATAATGAAGTTGAAGCGCATTGAAAAACCAAAATTCAAAAATAATGTGCAAAAAAGTAACATACCGAACTCCAAGGCAAATTAAAAAAGGGGAAGTCCATAAAAACTGACAAAAATCAATTGCTATCAATCAACGGATCAAGTGCAAAAATGACTGCCATATTCGTGACTCGGTACAGTCATTTTCTGAAGAAAATGGTGGGTTAAACCTGGTTTTATAGCTAGCTAAAATCTAGTGCAAAATTGAGGTCAGCCCAAATATGCCTGCCGAAAAAAAACCTTACTGTTTTAAATGATTTTAAAGATTACTAAACGTTAACATACGGTACATAACCTTATCAATGAAATATTATGTCATCATAGGTGATCGAACCTTGAATCATGCACTGGTTATAAAACAGCATAGATATATTCTTTTGGTAAACTATAAAACTTAAAAAAATTACCTATCGTTTCTACTTTATACACATCAAACTTTTCTATTCGTTCATCCATCACACTGTACAAAGCATTTAACATATAAATAACTTCCATTGGTGAACTCTTGGAGCAGATAGTTGTAAATCCAACTATATCGGAAAAGTATACCGTCACAGATTTAAAATACTCTGGAACTATAGTTTTTTTCTTCATCATGCGCTTGGCTATGGCAACAGGTAACATTCGGTAGAGTAATTGTTCGGATCTTTTTCGTTCATGTTCTAAATCCAATGTTTTATTCTTCAACGAGTTAGCAAATGACTGCAGCGTTCTGTTAAGACGATACACAAGCAAAACTATCACAGGGAACATTATTATTGCTCCAACTACTATGGATATACCTCTGATCACCTTCATTTCATCGTCATTCAGATGATTGTCTAAAACCACAATAATTTCCTACATTCAAAAAGTAGAAGACAATTAACAATGTAACAAAAGTGATAACCGATTCATTTGTTCGTTGAACTCCACGGAGCGGTTAAATGATTATTTGTATTTTCTACTATCCGATAGGAATGTTGATTTGTAAAATGAAATCTAATCAATTTTATCTGTTCCAAATGTACGTCTACACCAATCATCCATTTCTCAATGGCGTTTTCCGGATATTGAATATATTCATGAACACTGAAAATCATATATTTTAATAATCCCACACCGACAAAAATAAAACTATGTGTACGGTATAGCAACATACAAGAAAGAAAAATGCATTTTATAGATTTTGTGCATCTGAGGGCCTATCTGCATTCATATTCATCAGGAACCATCAAGCTTAAACCTTGAAAGCCAGGAGTGTATACCTAAGTCGCCTTTGAAGGTGTAATACCACCAAATCATAGTACGTCACATCCGGTTGCATACGAAAATAGGTCGAAAAAAAATATTCCCTTGAATTTGACAGTTGTAGGTAATTGATCCTACATTTCATTGCAGTAAAACATTTCTGGGTCATAAACATATATCTTGGGTATTTCAAAGCACTGAGGTTACATGGTTACTAAAGCTTGTACACATGTTAAAAAAGGGGGAAAATTTAATTGGTTAACTTCCAGTGATGGTTATTTTCTTATATGCAATGAAATATTATGTGAAGTTTTTTCTATAGTACTGGACAGGATAAAACTTTACTCATGCCAAGTATTTCTTTATTTGAAACAAAGATAAATTCTGCACAATTTTTTGAAAAGTGCAAATTTAACAAAGACTAATAGGGGAAAATCAATGGTGGTATTACTCCTAATATGGGAAGCTGTACATGCACCTTTGACCTTGTGAGTACTCGCATGTGTTAAAATTTCTTGCTATTTAAGTGAAATATTACAAATAATGAAATATTCTGAGTGGATTGAGTCTCCAAAACACATTTTATGAGAAAATTTCCTTGAAATAGGACTTTACTCTGAATATTAGTTGACAGAACAAGCCATACTTAGAGTTTTGGGGAGCTTTTTCTCCTTATTTCTTATATTCTGCTATACCAGAAAATTTTTCCTAAGAAATACTTTAAAAACTATATAGTTTAAAGTAAATGAAATTATTTTTAAAGCAGTAACAACAAATTATTCACCAAAAGAGAAGATTTTTATGTCACTCTCTGGAACGCGGCGTAAATTTAAATTTTACGTTAGGACTTATTGAAACCTCCTTGGAGACTGTAAACTTTTATACGGATAGTTCATTCAGCTTGAATACTTCAATTAATCATTTATTATAACATTTCTATCATAAATGAGTGAAAGTTACCCCAAAATATTTATTTATTGGCCTAAAAAGTAGAAATTTTGAGGAAATGAGAGGTATAAACGGACCAAAAGAGACCTTATAAGGAAGACAAAGAGGTCCATTAGTAGTATTTATCATCCTAAAGTCATCTTTTGTATCATATTCAACTGTTTTTAGGCAGATGAGATAAATATTTGATCATTTATTGGTCCACACTATATTCTATCATGATGCGGCTTGGTTTGGATTTTTCGAAGAAATTTTGCTCGAAACACTGTAGATGTCGTCTTACATTATACTAGATTTTTCTCAAACTATTGAACTGATTATGACAAAACTTGACAGGAATGCTTGAAATAACCAGTATTACAAAGGGAAAAAGTCACATTAAGTTTATTCAACAAAAAAGTCTTCTTTAGGTGTAATACCACCAAATCATAGTACGTCACATCCGGTTGCATACGAAAATAGGTCGAAAAAAAATATTCCCTTGAATTTGACAGTTGTAGGTAATTGATCCTACATTTCATTGCAGTAAAACATTTCTGGGTCATAAACATATATCTTGGGTATTTCAAAGCACCATTATTTTTTTATTTGGGGTTTCTATAGAATATTTTAGAAACTAGAGGTTACATGGTTACTAAAGCTTGTACACAGGTTAAAAAAGGGGGAAAATTTGATTGGTTAACTTCCAGTGATGGTTATTTTCTTATATGCAATGAAATGTTATGTGAAATTTTTTCTATAGTATTGGACAGGATAAAACTTTACTCATGCCAAGTATTTCTTTATTTGAAACAAAGATAAATTCTGCACAATTTTTTGAAAAGTGCAAATTAAACAAAGACTAATAGGGGAAAATCAATGGTGGTATTACACCTGAACGAGAAAGTCGAAACCTTAGTTTCTTAGTAATTACTTAATTTATCAACGGGGAAATTTCGAAAAATATGTTATAAATCAGGTCAGTACCTACGCAACTACTGAGCTAATGTTCCTCTCGGGAACTAACAGTCTAATTCAGCAATTTATGTTAAAAAGTGATAAATTATGTTGCTCCGCTTCTTCGAAATGTCGCTTCGTAGAAAACACTTATACAATTTCGTTACCTAATTAACCTTTTATTGGATTGTAAAACATTTGACGATGAATGATATATTCATTTTGGTGTGAATGCAGCTGATTATTTGACCTTTGATTCATCATGAATGTTTGAGTTCTAGTTTGTGATTAGGTATTTCCGGTTTACGTGAAATGTCATGTCTAACCGAATATTCTTATTTTCTCAAGTTATGATAATTTATCGCTAGAGTAAGATTGTCGTATTATGATCTTATAAAATTGTCAATTACCCAACAACCCAGTGACACACATAACCAAAGACATCTTACAAATTACAAATTAACGAGAACATTTTATTAAAAGTTTACATTAGTATCAGTGGTGTAAATATCAAACAGATATATATATATATATTGTTCAGAAGGTGTATTTGCGAGAAGGTAAAATTACAAGGTGGAGAAAAGTTTTCTCCATATTGGTATTTTTCGCAAATAACCTCCTCATGAACTATGATTATTTACACCGAATATCAATAGAGTTGATTAATTTAAACATTGACATCTTATTTTATTATTATTTCCTGTATAAGTTACATTTTTGTAAGTATAGACAATGTAATTTTTCATATGAACACCTTTTAAGCCTAAATTTGTGCCACGTTTACTATGAAATTTCATAAAAATCATATTCTGGAATTGAAAGTTCATATGGACTACTTTTGCAAGGTCAAAATATAGAGTTGTGCGGCATATTTTTAACACTTATATGCTATAACTACTTAGTGTTTAAGATTATACTAAATTCTGTACTACCGCTCCCTTTACTCTGACTCTTATGATTAAATTTGACCGCTATCCAACTGTAATTATACTGCTTAACCTCCCAAGCTGTGTCTCTTTGAGATGAAATATCTTTGAAAGAGAAGTTAAACAAAATAAAATATTGAATGTCCCTCTAAAAGATGTGTGGTTTGTGAATCAGCTATAATAAAGGGGAATTAGCTGTCCAATTCATGTTTACCGATTTGACTCAAATTCTTATATCTGATTTAAAACATAATAAAACGTATACCAAAATTACAAAATCTAAAATAAACAATTAACAATGCATTTCGTGTGTATTTGCTAGTCTAGACGCCATCTAGTTAGCCATCGAGATGACCTCCAAAGACTGCCGACGGTCATGTCACCTGATATAAAAATAAGTATAAATACAAAACGATAGCGAACACGTGTAATTGGATTTTCTAGGTCTGTTTGATTTCATGTAATAGGTTTTAAAAATATGTTAATCATCGTTTTTACCTGTATAAGAAAGATTTTTTGTGGTTTGAATCAGTCAACGAAATGGTTCAGCTTTGTTTCACTTTAAATGCTGACATTCTTTTCCTTTTAATAGCGGAACACCCCTAGTACATGCGTTACCAATCTCCAGCTAAGGGGTTAAATTGAAAGTATAACATATTGATGGAAGCAAAAAAAAAACTACATTTAATAAAGCGCTTAAATAAACAAGCGTCGAACTGAAATGTAAAAAAGCATATTTATTTTGGCTGGAAATGTAAAAAGGACATATCATGGTGCATATGGTCAGTTTATGGTGACCTATAATCAGTATTTACCTCTCAGATTTACCTTAAAAAGGAAAATACACTAAAAATCAATCAATGAAAATAAATGTAATTATTCATATACAATCACTTTCAATATATTTTTCAAAGTTTAATTATCAAAATAAAATTGAAAAAAAATTAAATATATGAAACTAAAACAAAATGTAGTCAATAAAATATGTAGATGTATTTTAAAGATAACATCTAAAACTACTATAGTTTGACATTTCATCAAAGGTATAGATTACTGAACTAATTTTACCATAATGTCGTTTTCAGAGAGGCAATGAAGTTAATTTGTTATGGCTCTTATTGTTTAACTGATGAAGAAAAAGAAAAAAAAATGTTCAAGGATCCCATCACTGTTTCAATACAGCTAACGTCCAATATGATATGAAACGACATGTAATGATTTTAATGAACTCTTCCAACTTGTACCTGTGCTAATTCGTCTTGTATGCTCTTCAGTATATTAATGAATGACGTCATATTATCAAACCATACCATACCATCAATGACAGATGCTCTAGTTTCATTGTTGGCGGATATTTGTTGACGCATAATAGTCAGTTCTGTTGCTAGATCTGTATGTATGTAATAACCATGTAATAAGTTCTTTGCTTTATCTGAATATTGCATAGTTCTTAGTAAGTATGTTTCACCCAGTGTTTTCTTTTCTGTATACCATAGTAAATCTTCCAATGGGAAACAACCTACTAGAAATGAAAGTAAATAAGAGTTGGATAAACGTCAATATTACAGCTACACAAATAACTAAAATATTTACATGTCAATATGCAGTCTGCAACAAATAAATAGGTGCCATATGTCAATCTCTGACTCGTCCATGTTTGAAATGTGTGCCATTAACATGATTAACATCAAACATTTTTTTGTGTAAACGTAAACATATGACTGAAATTTAAATATTATTTTACGATAAATTGGTACTAGCCACGTACTAATAACAATTAACTGACGATTTGAATGTCAATTCAAATGTTGTCATTAAGTTATTGTCTAACGATAACATTGTACGATTGAATGATTTTATTGACGAAGCATGATACGATTTAATCGTGCAATTCTGCTGGAAATTCAATC